GGTCTTAAAATAATTGAGAAGAATTTGTTACCTTTCTATAACATCAAGAAATGGTTAGATATTCTAGTCTTCTCGGATAGGGACGAATAAATGGAGGTCCCGTCTCCTGCAGGGTTGGGGAAGGAGACGTTAATTTCCTACATACGAGATTACTGTGTAATGGATGTCCTCCCCTGGGGTGGGATGGGATGGGAAGGATGGGAGGGTGGACTAGCACAAAATGGTTCCTCTGTTCCTTTCTAGTCCTTCCCCACTGCAAAACTTAATGCAGCGAAAATGGACTAAATTAAATTAAATTAACCCACATGTGACGCCAGCTCCGGGAATCGAACCCGGGCCACAGTGGTGGGAGGCGAGTGCTCTCCACTGCGTCATCCCTGCTGTCCATTTGAGAAACATTTGACGAACATGATACGTCAATGCTCATCTTGTACTGTTGGGGTCGTTTAATTGGTATGTTTTGATTGTCGTTCTTTGCACTCAATTTTCTTGACAGAGTGATTCCTGTTCCTGGTAGTGCAGCCAATCCTGCGTGCAGGGATTACCCTATAACTTATCGTCTATATGCGGATTTTATTATCGTCTATTTCCGGCTCTGGAAAGTGGACGTCGTCGTCTGAATTTTTAGCATTTACCTATAGTAGTGTAAATAGAAAGTTTGAAACATTTTTCGCCCGTTAACAATTTTTAACGCGCAGTGTAAATATAATGCTGTGTTGACTAAACTTGCTATCCTTGTGGTGCGCGTGTCGTGCGCGTGTCGTGCGGGACACTCGTGGGACCTCTGAGGAAAAACCCGCAGACACGAAAATTACAAGGAAACGTCTGGGACGTTAGATAATTTTTAAGAGTAGGCGTTGGTTGGTGATTGTAACGGATCATCTTTGTACGTCATGTGCATTTCAACTCAATTCACTGTTGTTTGTTGTTGTCCATCCAAGAATAAAAGCCTGTTAATAGATATGGAAAGCCTTTTCCTTCTTAGTTTTTTGTCGGTTTTGTCGCGATTTTTGCAGAATAATTGAGAGGGCTCGTTGGGGTACCCTGACGTCACTTTGCCCGAACGAGTAGAATAGTAGAGCGCTTGCTGAAGAAGATCATACCCGCGTGTAAATCCGCCCGTCAATTTTTTCCAGCGTCCTCGCACGCCCGTTTGAGTCATCGGGAAGGGCTGAAGTGGATAGCTGGATGAAAACTGGGAAGTGGGGTTAGGGGAGCTTTTCGTTATCCCGCCTGTAAACAGTCGTGCAGTTGTTGTTTTTGGTTGAACTAAGTAGGTCGCGATGATGCTAGCTGAGGGATTATATAGGAAAAACTTACAACTTCCACTTGCGACTGCCTTCCAGAACGCGATAGCCTGAGCAGGTCCTCAGATCCCGTTGTTGGCGCAAACGCGAGCAACTTGGAAAACAGACCGAGGTTTTGAATTAAAAATGTATTCAAAGTCAAATGTTTGCATTGTTGCGATTATGGAGTAGAATTACTTGCTATGTTGTGGCGACGAAACTGACTCTACTCTCCATTTTTGCTCAATCCCCACGCTCCACGCGAACTCATGTTAGCGTGACGTGTTCGCCGCTTGAACATGTGGCGCAATCTTGTGATCCAGCCGCAATTCCGCCGCAAATTCTTATACTAACAAAAACAACAACTGAAGTCTGTCAACACTGCAGTTTAATTAAGAACTTTGCAACTTCCATAATTGAAAAATAGGGTTCTGTCCTGGTGTACCGGTTCACAAGGGAATTACCATTGTTCTTTCTTTGTTTAGGAGTCATTGGTTAGCTGTATTGTTCGGTCTTTTTTAACGGCTCTTGTGAACCGGTACACGAGGACAGAACCAAAAATAGTGTTCTTCGGTTTCCGTGCTACAAATATACTTCATAAATTATTTGTACATTCAAAATGATCACTCGCAAGTAGTTCGAAGTGATTTGTAATCTTTTCTTTGAGCAATTTAGTCACACTTAAAATTACAGTGCAACAACACCAAAAAACTTATCTCCAACGTTCATTAAATGTCTTTGTTCGACAGAAAAACATCCAGCTTCTCCAAAGAGCAGTACGCTACACGCGAAGCAAATATTGCACAACATTGTAAACTTATTGGAAACCTCAAGCAAAAATTTACAAAATTGCCGTTGTTGTTTATAAATAGAAAAATAAACATTTCTCACTTCTTAATTATAAAAAAAGGAATTGTTTCAAAACTACTATCTTTAGTACAAAATTTGACCTTGACACTTCGAGATCTTCCGATAATTGATAAATCTCGATGACAAGCTTAATTCAACTTCAGCGGAAGTGTTCATTAGTTTGGCTGATCTTGTATGACATAGCTTTCAACTCAACAAATTACAAATAAGAAATTCCAATTTTGTTCCAATTATCCCGGAGAGGTAACCATTAGATGTCGCATTTCTCACAGTCTTTTGATGTTTTTGTTGCTGTTTTTCTTTATGCCCACCTGAAGTTAATTTTTTTAGCTATCCCAAGCAAGCAGAGGTTCATTATTCTGTAAAATGTCAGCGAAAATTGGATACACGAGACATGACAAAAGTGGAATGTTCCAAGGTGAGTCCTTTTGACCCTTTGGTCGTCTAGTCAGCGCTAACTGTGGTGACGAGTCTGGTCTTGTTGAAGAAACAAGATCAAATTGCCTGGGATGGTTACTCTTCAAGACACGTGCATGACTCTGGATCCTGCTTGACTTACCAGAGATGGTTCCTCTTCATGACACTTACATGACCATCGATCCTGCTCGACTTGCCAACTTGGAAGTTCTTCAGTCCGTGTCAAACATTGGTCTGATCAAGCTTTGAGAACGACGATTCTTCCTCTTCGAGCAGTGAGAGAAACTCCGAAGGGTTTTCGGGATCCCGATCAACGTCTTTATCGTGAGATTTCTTCTTCGTTCCATTTGTCAAGCTTGGCTGCCAAGAATGTTCTGAGCCTTCTTCTTCCTTCTCTTCTTCTCGCTGCACGACATTTCCATTTCGTTTGTCATCATTCATTTCGTTTTCCAAATAGTCAATCTCGTTAAGTGTCTTGAGCTCGATTCCACGCGAGTCTCGATTATCCGAGTTGTTCATGACAGCTTCCGACGTCTTGCGAGAACCGAACATTACACTCAATTTTCTGGATTTGGAGTCGTCGTCTGCATCTTGCAGACCTTGCTGCTTCAACTTCCGATTTCTGTACTTTTTATAAATAGCGTCGAAATTCGAGACAATAACTGGTACAGGAAGAGCAATCGCAAGCACACCGCACAGTGCACAACCAGATCCAACAAGCTTTCCCCACACTGACTTGGGATACATATCTCCATAACCCACAGTCGTCATGGTAACAAGAGCCCACCAGAATGCATCCGGGATACTTCGGAAAAATGTTTCTTCATCACCACTCTCTGCGTAGTAAACCATACTTGAGAATATTACAACACCGATTACTAAGAAAAATATCAGTAGTCCAAGCTCTCGCAGACTCTTCCGTAACGTTAGTCCGAGAATTTGGAGTCCGCTGGAATGACGGGAGAGCTTAAAGATACGGAACACTCGAACAAGTCTTAAAATTCGGAGAAAGGCCAGTGAAAATGTCTGCTCGCTGCTGTTTTTAAGTCCTAGTTCCACGTAAAATGGCAATATAGCGAGTAAATCGATCACATTTAGAAAGGAACGAACGAACATCCATTTCTCTGGACTAGCCAGTAGTCGTACCAAATATTCAATTGTAAACCAGCTAATGAATGCAATTTCAAGCTGCCCGAAAACGTTCTTTACCGACGTCGCCAACTTGTTGTGTTCGCTAATTTCTTCTGACTTTGCCGTGTCATTTGCGTCAATCCCTTCATTTGACTGAACGATAAATTCAGGAAGTGTTTCTATACACAAAACGACTATCGAAGCCACGATTACTGAAACAGACAACAGCGCCAACACTCGAGCCGCTTTGCTGGAATCGGGATACTCGAATAGACGCCACACTAACTGTTGCGCTTTGTTCTTTGGAATCACTAGCGCTTTCTCTGGTGGTTCATCTTCGTTCAGAATATCCTTAACCGCATTAACAGCTTGCTCTCCAAGTTCGAAAAACTCCACCTCTTCCAATAAAATCTCCGGAGCCAGCTCTGGAGGGCAGACCAATCGGCCATTGGATTGATAGAAATACAAAATTAATTCAAACACTTGAATGTTCCGATCAAAGAAGTACTCATCGCGTTCTTCGTCGTAAAACTGTTTCCGTTTCTCTCTATTTCCTAGAAGGGTGGTGGGAAACCTTTCCAATGTTTTGGCGTAAGTCATGTATCGGAATCCTGACACGTTCAGTACAATTCGACGATGTTTGGATGGCGAGTCATACTTGCCATAGCCTGAAGAATTTTTAACTTCGCTACCCTCCCCAGAGATTTCATCGTTGCTTTCAGCGCCTTTTTCAGGGGCAGCTCGAGTTGTTATGTCTCTCTTCTTCAATCGTAACGTGATTGCTCCATGTGTACTCAAGCTTGCTCCCATTTCTCCTGAAAACAAAACAAATCGTACGCCATGAATATGAATAACCAACACCGTTCGTCAAATGTAAAGCAACAGGTCTCCAAGGTTTCTTGGGGGTATATATTTACCACTTGACGCCCGTACCTAGTTGGATATTGGCATTGTGCATTACTGTCTAACGGCGAGCACGGAAACTCCACAATTCGACCACAGACGATACATATTTTACTCACCGCCGAGTGTACTGATCAAAACTCAAGCACTCATGCGTTAATCAGAAAGAATCTGTTATCATTCCGATAACATGCACCGCTTCAGCCAAGTTGACACAAACAGCACAGTTTAAATATTAACCCGGATGAATCTGATAATTTTACTGGCTTATAGTGTGCTGTCCATTTCTTTAAGTGACAGTTGGAGCGCTTATTTACGTTCGAAGCGGATCTAGATTCCGGCTCGAAGGCCAGGCCACTTGTCATTAGAGGCCAGTCAATTAAACGCATTTGGAATAAATAGCGAAAAAAAAAATTACCCATTAACAAAAGAGAATATTGGCCAGACGATTCAACAAGATTACTGCTTTCATTTAATTCACAAATGCTCGGCTTTAACTAACGGGCCAAGTAAGTCAGCCCTTAATTCGCCATCGGGTGTTAAAATTCTCAACTCCTCTTCATGATTTGGACATTGTGACATCAGTCTGATGGCTACGAAAGATTCGAGACATGTAAGGTCATTTCATAAAGGTAAACAAATGCTCTCCTTTTTTACAGTGGAGATGAATGCTCTCTTTTAATTTGTGTTCTGGACCGTCAATCCTTTTCTTTTCGTGTCGGTAAATATATTTATGGAAACGGAGTAATCTGTATCCGGCCACGTTATTTGTATTCGGGTTGACAAAGGAAATCGACTGGATGATCTTTCTGTTAGCAGGCTCTCAAAGTAAGAGTCGATGCAGAAATATAATTACCTCTATAAGAACTTCAATCCAATTATTTGTTATGTTACTGCTGTCTTTCGTGTGCACAAGTAAACGTTCTTAGGTTTCGATACCTTGACTAATCAACCTTAAAATCGATTATTATTGTTCCTGTAGACTCTTCCGTCCTAGGCTTAAGGAAACAACATGCTTCGACATCAATTTCGTTTATTTATCTGCGATAAGAACGTTCGAATAAAAAAGACATCAAATGATTTAAGAAATTCATTGATTAGTCACGTACGCGCAATCGAACGACAATAGCTCCATTTCTTGCAGTATAAGAGTTATTTAATCTAAAAAGGACGAAATACCATAAAAAAAAACTTAAAGTAGATGATCCTAACTTCATGTCACTGATGTGTGTCTATTTTCCGTTAAATCGATACGCAGTTCGCCTTTTTAACACCAGGGTGAGAAAAAATGCTTTTAGAAACAAATTGTTTCGTACGTTCTACGAGATCAAAGAAGTTATGCGTGCATCTTTAAATCATAAAACAATTTATGTGAAATTCAGCCACCCCTTCAAGGCCATCAGATATTGGTTTAACTTCATATAGATTTAAAAAAAAACTCGTGTTCACGGAATTGTTCCTCATTAATTTGCGATATCGTCGTACACATATTTACAACGTCTACAAGTGTAACACTCTTTTGAAAATGAATTTAACTGGAAAATGGCGAATGTAATTCTTTCCAGCCTGCTAGCTGTACAGTAACAATGCTGTGCTGCTAGTGCCTCACTTCCATGCCCGATAGCTCAGTAAACAAATGCTTTCAAGACCTCCTACTAGCTTTACGTACTTCTCTCGGTGTAACAAAAAAAAATATTCTGTTCGATTCTGCGGAGAAATAACATACACTCATTGCGATTTAACACCAAACTGGATTGAGCTATTTGTTATTTATCGACTTTAGTAGCTCGACTACCCGATTAGATTTCATGTGTTGAATGCCTTCTTTATCAATATCAAGCCCACAGCACGATGCGCATCGCCGCAAATTCCTTCTAGAATCTTCGATCTCATGAAAACACAATAGATTATAACTTATGATACTTAGGGTGCTACGGCTCGTTGCTCACGTACATTCGCAGCTTGATAACTTCTAAATAGGTGTTCCTGATTGTAGCCTTTATAGAGAAGTATTTTTGAACACGGTCTGGGAAAAGAGAACTATGGAATCGTGAGACATAAACATTTTGTTTGAACTAAAATTAAAGGCCCTTGAACCAGTTGAAGGAACGCTTTTCGTGTCTGACAGTTTTGTTACTGTTAAAAGCAAAATGTCATGCCATCAATCACTGAATTCTTGAACTGTGAAAGTTATTTATATTTTGCTTTTATTATTACAAAAACGATTGAGACGGCCATACAATGAAGTACGTTCACTCGCTTGTATTTGTTTATGAAGTTGAGTGTTGCTTATGAGTTTCACGGTTAAAATCAGCCAATTTCAACAATCTCTCCAATGGAAAAGATTTTCTTACAGGAAGCAAGTCAGTCGCAATTAATGGTCTCAAATGGTACTCAATGCGGGATGAAAATATTCTTTGTACCAAGTGATGGAAAAATCCTGCCTTAGATTCGAGATGATCGGAAGATGCGACTTATTTTGGTTGATCGCTTCTGAAATATGACGATCAGTTCAGAGGGCAAACTAATAGAACAGCCCTTAACAGAAACACGCTTCGGAAAACGTCACCCAGAATGTCGACCTTCCACTCCACTTTGACATAGTGGGTGGGCATTTGGTTTCATGGTCTGTTTTAGACTACAGTAAAACTGTGATCCATGAGTAAATCTTCAAAGCCAAACCTTTTATTGACCCGATCTTACAGGCAATGATTAAATAGCTGATACCTTCCAAATTAGTCATTTATACACTGATGTTAGGCTCGGAGAAAAGTCTACAAAACAAACAGCTACCGGCAGATAGCCCTTGAGGCCCAATGAAAATACTAAAATCTACCAACCTTGGTTCAAGTAACACTGCATACCACCAAGCTAAAGGAACTGGCGTTTGAAGCTTCTCAGGTTATCATTTGAATTCATACACACTAACAGAACATTTCAACTGGATGTCAATGATGTTTCTTTTCACGCCCCAGTTACTCTATGACAGTAAGTGCAGAGTGGAGACATAAAACTCTAACTTGCCTTTAAATGCAATGACTTTTGGGTAATAACCGTAGTGCTGACTGAAAAATTTTAATTATTGCAAACATGTTTCGAAAACAAAATTCTTTGCAGTCGGAAAAATAAAGTAAACTTGGTCGGCGACTGCTTCCATCCAAACAGTAGACACCGGAAATCCAGATAACAGATATCAAAAATCAATTGCATGCAACCCTTATCTTTAACTGACATTGGTTGCATTTCGCAGGGACCGTTAACATGTTTCGATACAGCTTTGAATTACTTGTTGACTTAATGGTTTCACCAGTTCTTTAAAATCTATAGCCAGCGTCGGAAATATGTCAAGAAACTAAAGATAGCCGGCGCCGTCTCCTAACAGAACAGATCAATCAGAAAGGCCGCCGAATGTGATGATATAGAAACACGAATACATGTTATTAACCTTGTGCCGCTGGATTCCACGCCATCTCGTCTAGCGTCCGGGAAAGGGGGAAGGGGTGGAGTTCTTACCCCACTGCGTTAAGAAAATCGCAAGATTCAGCTGCGAAAGCTTAGAAAAAATTGGTGAAACAATCAAGCACTTTTGTTTGTTTAAATCAATTATTTCCAAAGTCTTGGCCGTCGAGTAAGTTCCACAGGCTATTTTACCTTTTTAATTCCCGATTCCTTTAAGTTTTTTTACTTTCCTTTTTTAGCTTTGGAGTTTAAGACCCGAACTGTTGTACTTAAGACTTGATTCTTTGAGATCAGCCCTTGGAATGACGAAATACCTGCCGTTATTTATGCACTGGCGACTGGCTCATTGTTCCTCGTTGACATCACTGACGAACCAAAGTGCTTACTCAATCAACTTTGTAGTGCATTAGGTTCATTCAATTTCTCAATTCAGTAGATGCGTCCAAAAGTGGCGAAAGTGGATTACCCAAGGCCGGATTTATGAAGCACATTAGAAAATAAGTTTAAACGTAAGCTTAATCATATCTGCATGGAAAAAGGATGATAGTTTCTAAAGAAACTGTTTGGAGCTGCGTCAGTGGGGGTAACGAAATAATTTAAATTAAATATATCAACAAAGTTGAAATGGTAAATTGGCCACCGTTACGATTATAAAAGCTGACATTTCGAGCGTCTGCATGGAAAAGGCGCGTTACAAATTTTTAATTATTATTAATTATTATTGACTGTCTGATCTTCGAAAAGAACTTCGTTGAACACCTAGTCTGACTCGATTCGCGCCGAACTCTCTACAAGACACTTAGTCATTATTTTACCTTTATTTTACCTTTGGACACTATGCGCACAGGTATAAAGTACTTCTCTATGCGGTTTTATCGCTTTATCTATTTCACTTTTGACTCGATAATGAGTTAACTTCGAAACGTAGTTAAACAATTTTTAGAACAGTTTTCACAAGTGTTATAGAGTAATATTCTCTCGTAAATATTTTTTTCTCCTCATGACTCTTATTCTTGAAAAACTAATACATGATATCCATTTACAGTCTTTCTGAGAGTAAAAGGATTAACCGAAGCTTCATCGAGAGAAAATATTTCAAAACTTAACACCGGTCATTAGAATAATATCGAAAGTAAGGGGTTTAGCCTCCTAATCCATTTAATTACGTGCTATTTTACTCATGCAATGCAATAATGCGGTATTGTGTTATTTTGACGAAAACAGCCTGCGGGTTAAAATGGACAGCCCACCCTTGCCCGATATTTTGGAAGTTGAGCTTGAATATTGAAAGTCGTCAGCAATTTATTTCTTATTCACCTTACCTGTTTTTTGCTTCTTTGAATCAGTATTGGCATAAATTCAAAAGCTTAAGGCTGCGGTATTTACATACAGCACGTGTCTGCTTACTGACAACGAAATTCAACGCACGCATCATGTTTTGCTAGTATGAGATTCTACCTTTCTCATCCATTTCTTTACGAAATCAGCAGATAAGCGAGTTATTCCACGCCTCTTGACTGCTTTTTTTCTCAATTGGGAGCAAATTGTACACTTAACAGTACAAAAGACTCTAGAATTTACGCATTTATTCACGATTGTGCTCTTTACCGACACCAGTTTCCCATTAAATTTTTTTTTTTTCCCGTTCACCACATCTCTGCAGTGGAACAAGAGAGTTGGTAGTCACATGAATGACCACTCATCCGCGAAACGGTTACGCTCGACAACAGATTCCGATTAAAATTACTAGTTTCTCGGCGGTAGGCAACGATCTGAATGTCAAGGTGTAATATTTTTCCCAGAAGAAACGGCCATTTGGCGATTTGTAATGAGAAAATTAAAGCGCATTGACTCAAAGTGGAGCTCGACATCGATAACTGACATATCAACAACAGCTAGCATTTAAGCTCTTAGGCTAGCTCTAAACTTTTCAACAGCAGATTCAAGATTACACCGGCTATGATGTTGTGTATAGATCAGATGCATGCGGGCCGGCGTAAATAGTTTCACACTGATTTTGATCTGACTTTGTAGTGGTCAAAGTAAGCGAAGGGCGTCGAACAGGTTAGAACCATCTTTTCTCGAAGTGAAAACTGTTTTCAGTACTCACCAGGACTTATAAGGACTCGCGAAAGCCTTCGATGATGTGTTTCCGGTTTTCACTGAAATCTCGAGTACCTGGGCTGTGAACTAAACGAATACTGGAGACGCTATCTCAGCTACTTGCATGAGCTTCAAGTACTAATGAGCCCAGTACAAAATGTTTAGAACTTCGCGCAGCTAATTGCGAGACCGTTTTGTTCTTCATTGCAAAGAGCTTTACTGAGCCGACTTCCAATAGCTATGCCTCTGTGGATTTCTAGTGAGACCCCAGTGGACTTATTTGTTGTCTAAAAATTGAATAGGCCTTTTGTGAGTCTGTAGATGTAGTTTTTGTTTTCATCGCAGCAGTTGGTTGCGATCTTGTCCGTTGCAGTGGGTTTTTGTATCGTGTTGTGAAACCTCTTGAAAGAAGAATACATTTAACTAACTAATATTTAA